ATCTTCCTGACTCTTGGTATAATGAGTGATTTTTCAATTCAAATCTGGATATATGTTTTTCATTATATTGCCAATCTCTGGATTTTATTCAAACCTTTTGTTTTAGGTAGGTTTCTCTGATACTTTATCCAGTGGAGACAGATGTCTAGTTTTCCCTTTTAAAATTCACTAACATCTGGGCTGGGAAGGTGGCTCAGTGGTAGAGCACTTGCCTTGCATGCATGAGGCCCTGGGTTCGATTCCTCAGCATCACATAAGCAAAAAGAAAAAAGCCGGAAGTGGCGTTATGGCTCAAGTGGTAGAGCACTAGCTCTTAAGTATTGCTCAGTGGGGATGGAAGTTACAACTCTGGACAATGTTTCCACTGATGATAGTGAAAGTCCCCATTCCCATTCCATCAGCCTTACCCCGTTGGAAAGGTAGGAGCAGTCTCATTGCTGCTAAGAGGTATAGGAAGCCTGAGATCCCCATGTAGGCTCCACTAGAACCACTGGGATAAGGCTTATTACTAGTCATTGGGGATGAGTTATCTTCAGCCCTTTATAAATGTGGCCTTTCTTAATAACCCTTCCAGCAGCAATGTTGGTTGGCTTTGTTATGCCCACATGTAGGCAGAAATTTAGGCTTCCCGTTAGGCCTTTGCTGGCATTATTACATTTGAGCTGTAGTTATTTCTATGGTGTTCACTATGGTAGGGAAGTGACTATCTAAAAGTATTTTGTGCACTAGGCTTTTCTTTTGTCCAGAAAGGGAGCTAGTTTTTGCTTGACATTGCTTGATACCTGTTGACAGTCACAGATTTCTTCATTCTTCAACTCGGTGTCTGGCTCTATATCTACAGGTTGTGACTTGGTCTCTAGGTGTCTTTTGTTATATTTGTTCAGAATCTTGCTATATTAGTTTATATACAATACCCAAAGATTGTCAGTAAATTTAAGGAAAGGAATAGGTGATAGTACACATTATCTATCTACATGAAAGCAAGTCTTCCTGGCTCACTTTTCAAAACATAGCCTATATTAAAAGGGGAATTTTAGAATATATGGCATGAATAAAAATGATACGTCTGGGTTTCTGTAATGGCTATTTAACAAAATTGCAAAACCATATTTTTAATGAGTTACTCAGTTATCCTTTGGAGATGATTCTGTATTATTGTGCTTGGTTCAGAACATTTTGAGACTTCTTTGGGGCTTTTAGGTAGTAATTTTTAGTTTAGTGAATCATCCTTTTGAACACTCTTAGTAGTATAAATCCTTTGAGACTATATTTTTTAAAGCAAGTCCTATGGGTTCAAGAACCAAGATGGGAAGTAAAACAAATGACCAAATTGGGAAATGCAATATCCTGCTTAGTCTAACACTCCTGGTTAAAAGAACAGTGTGAACCAAAGCATTATTGAAGTGATAGAGTCATTCTTTCATGTTATACAAAACCTCTCAAACACTTAACAACTTCCCATAATAAGACTGATTAGCTGTGGGATGAATTTTACTTGAACAATACCATTCAGTATCAAATCAACATTTCTTTCTACTAATTATAGCATAAATATTTCCGTGTTTCCTATGAGTATTGAAGCTTTTCACTGGAAATTTCATAGTTTATTTGGGGCCAACAATTCCATCACTATTCTCCTGAAATACATGTTGTTTGGCCCAACATCCCCATGAAGGCTTCTAACAAATGTCAAAGTTTTTCTATTTCTTTTTATCATTCAAAATGTGTAGCACAGCCTTAACAGAAACCTTTGTGTCCAAATTCCCCTCAGTGTGAGTCAGTGTTCATATAGCTAACCTCTGCTTAAATAAATCCAGACTCTGACATTTTCATCAGCCCTTTGTGCTCCATCAAACACATCTCTATTACCTTCTCTCAGTCTTTGTGCCACTAAAACAAGAAGTGTTCTCTACAGACCTCCTGCACCATAACTGTCCCTCCAGATGTTTTGTCATTTATGTTTGTTTAACTTTACACAATATTGGGTGTGTTAATTTTTTGCTTTGTACAGCTATTATTTACTATCACCATTTAACACAGCCTATCACCCAAGAGAATAAAAGTGCTGCCATTGCAAACAAAATCACTTTACAGCAGGTTCCCTACCATGCCTCCTTTTTGTTTTGCCAATCCATCTGAGAACACAATTGCTTTCTGTCGATTTGTAGTAATTGAAAGCCTACTAAAGACAAAAGCCTCATCTTTTTTGTTTAACTCTTAAGTTTGAAGCCACCTGCATAGCATCTAAAATGGCTAATAGATCTAATTAACCAAGTAGGAAATAGCCTTTTGACAAATTCAAGAGCTGCTAAAACAACTGAATATATCCTCTCAACAATATCATCCTTTTGTTCCTCTGGACATGGTTTTTTTGTTCTTGGTCCCGGTCATGAGGAGCTGTCCCTGAGTTTTTGCACTCAACGCTAGCTAGTGTTTTACTGCTCTGGACCACTGCACCACTTCTAATGGTTAATTGGAAATGAGAGTCTCACAGACCTTGCTGCCTGAGCTGTGTTAAACCACAGTTCTCAGCTCTCAGCTCTCTGAGATGCTAGGATTACAGGCATGAGCCACCGGCACCAGGTCCACATGATTCTTTTTAATTTACAGTTAAACTATTTTTAGTAGGATGCCAACTATGAGAAAGAGGGCAGCAGTATAATGCCATGTTTAAAGGCATGACCTTTGATAGCCATGATTCAATGCTGGTCATGATGGTTTACGAGTTGTACAAATTTGTAGGAAAACTGACTTCACCTTTCTGAGCCTTGAATTTCCTTCTTAGCAAAACTGGACAAGACAGTAAAGGTAACTGTTATAGTAACAATGTCTTGTGAAGATTAATGGAGAAGGTATGTGAAAGACACTTTGATTGAATTTTTTTGCTCCAAGTGTTTGTGTGGCATGAGTTATTTATTAAACATAGTTACCATGCCAGTTAGAAAAACAGCACATAGCACCTGGTGCTTCCCCTAAAAGAATCCAACGTCCACATTGAGCTCAGATTTTCTCATGAAGAGAAAACTAGTCAGAAGGCTATTACAGTTCTTTAATCAAGAGTACTAGGTTTCCACTGTCGGACAGACTGTTAACAGATTGTTCAACAAAGTAATCTTTAAGCAGTCACTATTGACTTCCTCATGTAGATAGTAAATTAAGGAGCCAAACTATGGGGGCTTTTTTAATGGTTAAGTACTTGTACTTATAGGTTACAATTCCATAAGCCAGGATATGAGTACAAGGCATCTTGATCACTGTCATCTTTTCCACCATCTTCACAACAGTTTTGACTTCCTTCTAAGTTTATTTGGTGCAAAATTTCTTGATGATGTTTTGCTCTTTCTCCCTTTCTCTTCTCCAAGCACTGAAGACCCATGACTTCTATGTTAGTGGATATGAAGAATAGATTTAATTGTGAAAGACAGACTCTACTCCCAGCTTATCTAACTGCAGATGTAACCACACACAGAATGAGTCCATTCGGAATGTAGCAGTTCAAAATATGATAATAGCATTATATTGTTTTATATTAAATATCATACAGGCTTTACCAACCATAAAAACTTAGAATTCAATGGAAGCACAAAAGAATAAATTTGTACTAAACACTTTACCACAATAGTGCTCAATCTTCTAGATGGCTGAAAAGTTAGAATGCGCTCTTTCATGCAGATTTCTAAGAATGCATACAGTCTATAGACCATTTCCCTTTGTGAGATTATCTTAATTGTATATATAAGGTTATTATTTTGTGATCTCTGTATGTGTTAAACAGTGTTGGGTAGGTAATTGATCTTACATTGTACTGAAACATTTTGCAACTTGTCCTTCAGTTTCTCATAAAGTTGTAATGTTGTGAATGTAAAAATATATATATAATACCAAAACAGCTGATTGAACATCTACATTCCAATCAAATTGTTTCTTTTACCCTGCATATTGCCAAATAGCAAAATTGAATATTTTCTTTTTAAATTGCCTCTTGCTTAAAATCCAACAATATACTTTCCCACTTTAAATGGGTTTCACTGTAGTTCTCACTATAGCTTATCACCACATTATCATTGTAGTTTCTTTGTTGTGTGCATGTGTTGCTCTTTAAGAACTGTAAAATAGCCGGGCACTGGTGGCTCACACCTGTAAGCCTAGCCACTCAGGAGGCTAAGACCTAAGGATCAGGATTCAAAGCCAGCCTAGGCAGGAAAGTCCATGAGACTCTTATCTCCAACTAACCACCAGAAAACCACTTGAGTGTTGTGGCTCAAGTGGCAAAGCACTTGCCTTGAGCTGAAGAGCTCAGGGATAGCATACAGGTCCAGAGTTCAAGTCCCATGACCAACCAAAAGCAAAAAACACCTTCAAAATAAAGCAAGTGTGCATAGCTTATTTTAAGACTTTTCCATATCTAATGCCTCCACAAACTACAGGTAGTCCTATGAACTTACCACATGATTAACTTTTAGGGTAACTTAGAATTTCCAAAAGACATAATCTTGACTTAATACTATAACAAATTAATAAGTGTTGACTATAAATGCCAGAACAAGATTCCTATACACCTTTATCATAAAACTTAGGGAATCTAATTATTTTTTTCAGAATTATGAAACAGGTTTATCATTTCCCTTCATGTTAAAATATATTACATATCTCCATTTCTAAAAACTAAAATAAAATTGCCAGCTGTAGCTCCCTTTGTTTTTAATTATGGCTTCTTTTGCTTCTTGATATCTTTCAGGTTCCCTTAAAATAAGAATTGAAATAAGTTTTGTCAAGCCACTATTTGGCCATGAATATATTTAATACAAACTTGCCCCAATATTTACATTTTCCCAAACCCAAGTAGGCATGCCCTTACTGTTTCTTCATTATCCATTCTAGCTGTGGCTAACAGACCAACCATTCTTCTCTACGGAGAAGGCATTCCGTGCATGTGTTCTGCTTTAATCATATCTTTCCCGTACCAGGACCGTCTGCCTGACAGATTATCTTTCCCACAGGCAGGCAGCCACATCCAGACTTTGATGGGGTCACAAAGCCTTCAGCATCGCAGCCGGGAGCAGCAGCCATATGAGGGAAACATAAACAAAGTGACCATCCAGCAATTTCAGTCACCATTGCCTATTCAGATCCCCTCTTCACAGGCCACCCGGGGACCTCAGCCTGGACGGTGCTTAATTCAAACTAAAGGGCAAAGGAGTATGGATGGCTATCCAGAGCAGGTGAGAAGAGAATTTATAACTGACTCATTTTGAGGAAAAAAGACTTGGTTGGCCTCTCTTTTTGTTCTTTCTTTCCTTCTTCCTTCCTTTTTTTTTTTTTGTGCTGGTACTAGGGCTTGAACTCAGGGCCTGGGTGCTGTCCCTGAGCTTTTTTGCTCAAGGCTCGAGTTCTAGCCACAGCTCCACTTCTGTCCTGTTGGTCTCTAATTGTAAATAAGAGTCTCCTGGACTTTCTTGCCTGGGCTGGCCTCCAACTAGGATCCTCAGATCTCAGCCTCCTGAGTAGCTGTGATTTCAGGCATGAGCCACCAGTGTCCTTCTGCCTTCAATTATAAATGTGGTTGAGGACACATCATGCTGGCAGCCTGTGTTGAATGGGGTGAAATAAGCTCTGTAGGGATTTTATCATTATGTGCAGTGGATAGAGCTGTCACATCTAAACATTTGTGGTTGAAGCTAGACACTAGTGACTCGTACCTGTAATCCTAGCTACACAGCAGGCTGAGATCTAAAGATCACGCAGACAAAGCCAGCCCTGGCTGGCTTTAGAAGTAGCGCAAAATAAAGTAAAGCTGCTTCTCTTTTGGCATCTGTAAAAGTAGGATATGTTTTTCTATTGTAGAATCTGTTTTGCTTCCTTAGAACCAGAAAACAGAAGGGAATGGTAACTATTGAGTTACATTAAGATTCGGAAGTAAGACTTAAGGATCTTAATACTCAGTATAAAATTTAATTTATCTTAGTTTATTCTTCAGATGATTACACAAAGCACTCACTGACTGCTAATTCCTTAATATGGTTTATAAAGGCTTCACTTTATTGCTGCTTACTCAAAGCTTTACATGCTAACCGCCTTATTTTCTAAATATATCAGTCAAGATTAACTTCATTCTCCAGAGTTTTTGTCTTTATATTTATCATTGGCTCCAGCTGCTTTAAACATTGTTTCTATTTCTTACCACCCATCTGGAAATTGAAATGATGTATTACCATTCTCAGCATCATAGGTACGTCTTTCAAAATAATTCTCTTCCTTTCCTCCCTTGATCTAGGCCAACTGTTTGATTTAATGCATAATAAGCCAGGCAGGTTCCTTTAATCAGATAATGATGGGTAAGGTTTTACATTCTCCAGCGCTTCTAACTATTAATAAACCTTTGAGTTATGCTTCACTAAAGAAGAGTGAAATGTTGCTTACATCCACTGCCCCTTAGAAATTCAGGACCTCAGCCCAGTTCTCTGGTTCAGTCATTCTCCTCTGTAACTTCAGAGGGTTCTTTTTTCTCCCCTAGAATCAGTACATTTAAAAATCTACTGAGATCAAAACCCTCTTTAACCTACTTTGAATTATAAAGTTATTACTACTATGTAGCTAATCTGAATAAACAAACACATAATTTCATAAAATATGAATAATACGAAGATTACTAAATTTAACATTTCCATGTCAATTCAGATTTATTCTTTCAGAGAATGTATTTACAGTCAGCAGCTTTCTAGTGTTTTTATTTATAGCTCTGAATCTCAAACTATGAGAGAAAAAGGTAAGCCTTAGGGCTATATTAAGGGAGAACATAGTGATATATGTAGAATAAGTAGCTGCCAAAGCAAAACTGAGAGAGAGACATGTCATTGCAATGCTTTATTCACATCTCTCAGAACCCTTTTATGAATTAACTGGTTTTAATTGATAATGCTGTGATCCATATAAATCAGTTTCTATTTTACTAAGAAACTATGGCTTAGAGAAGTTAAGTGTATTGGCTGTTGTCATACAATTCAAAAGCTGAGCAAGAATTAAAACTAGTCTCGTGGGTCTACCACATTACATATCACATACTGGCTACACTGCATCCTCACACAGTTCAAGAGTTAAGTTCACACTGTCACAATAAATCAATAGGAAACTACATCCTCCAGCTCATGCATTCTAACATGTGACTGTCGCACAACTTATAAAGTTAATGTATAAAATTAATTGTGTTGAGTTGCACAGTATTTGTGTCCAGTCATGAGTCATAAATTCATAACTGCAGCATTATTTTGGTGACTGGACAAGAAAGTTGTATGGGAAAAATATTTATAACTACACATACTTTAAGAGGTAGAGGATGAAATATGGGGTATTCATGAAATCAGTAAATAACAGACATTCACGCCATTTAATACCTACTTTTGAACTGCTATGAATTATCAATTAATTTTTAAACTCTATATTTTGATAGTATGCATTGTTTCTATATAGTATTGGGTTCAGTGTGTTATCTCAACACACATGGTATTGACTGCTCTAATAGAGACTCCCTTTATCTACTCGTCCAAATTCTTAACCTGTGGTATGACTGTCTGCATTCGATTTATTTTCTTCCAGTTTCCATATATGAAAGTCCTGATGTCTAGCTTATTATATTTAACATTATATCTTCTCATTCCATGAATTTTGCTGTACATAACAGAATTTCACCCTTTAAGGCTGAATAATATTCTATTGTTGATCTATACTACTTTGGGTCTTTCCTTCATGCTAGAAAGACAGCTCCAAGAGCTCCAGAATTTGTCAGATTTCAAAAAAGTAAATAAAAGCAGGACTGCATTTCCTGGAATCCCTGGAGATCATTGTATTATGCTTTTTTGATTTGGTTACTTACCAAATTCTATTTTTTTAAATCACATTTTTAGGAAATATAGTCCTTTGTTTCAGATCTAGATAACCTGCTATCTAAATGATATCACCTATATATCACCTACATAGCATCTAGATAGCATAGTGGCTCAGGATTGGGGAGTGGGTAGCACTTCAGATAAATATTAAAGTCAAGTAACTAAAAGAACAATAAATAGATCTGAAGCAATAAAAGCAAATAGCCACTAAAAGTTTTGTAATATATACTGCTGAGAAACAGGATGATCAATAGGCAGCCAATTCATTATGGCATCACTGTATGTTTCTGTAGTGTTAGCCCTTAAGTATAAATATATAAATAACACCCCCCAACACACACACACACACACACACACACACACACACACACACACACTTTCTTTATTCCTGGTGCTTTTTAAAATCATTGTAGGACCAAATCAGAACACTACCTTCTAAGGATCATAGATTATGACCTCACAGGCCCTCACTAGGACATCATAGTCTATTTGCCATGAAGTTCTCCTTTAAACAAGTCCAATTACTTTAATTAAAATAAGATAAGCACAGACCAGAAATCTCAAGTACAGCGAAATGATGGATGTTGACTCTGAGAGGAACTAATGCACTGCTGGTGCTCATTCATTGCTTTTATGTTTTTAGCCAGAAAGGTATTCATCATAATCATCTTTTGAAAAAAATCAAAATAATGATTACAATAAAATTAGCTATTTTTTAGACTCCTAAACTTGGCCTTTAGCTCAGACACTGCATTTCCCCTTTGCTAATCTTTGGTTTCATGCTATAGTCTCTTCCATTTTATGGTCTCTTTGGGTCTTAGCGGGCAGGTGGAACTCCTTATGTGTGAGATGAATACTCCTCCTGACATGCTTTACAAGACCCAGTAGCCACAATGCAAGCTATTAGATATACCTTAGCATGCCCAAAAGCAGTCTAGCTTCAGATCAGAATTTATGTGTGTTTATCACATGTATAAAACCACGGTGTCATCTCTATCATTTCTGTTATTAAAAAATATATATTGAGACAGTTTGTCAAATATGTTTGGCACGTGTGAAATTTGTTTTCCTTGGATTTTAGTGCCTTACAGATTTACAATAGTATAAAATAGATGTAGTCCCTACCTTTAAAAAAAATGACTGAAAACAACTCCCAGCAATTTTCTGTGTAAGTGAAATCTTCTGTGTTTGGTTCCTTTCAGGTTGTAGAGTAGCCTAGAGAAAGCCAGAAATGTAGACACTTTCTGTGTTGCATAAGAGGAAATTTTCTCATTGGGAAGATAAAACCCGAGATTGAAATAATTTATTTCCAAATGCATATGTGGGCAACCACAAAAGAAAGCATAATTATAATAGTTTCTTTTTTCTTACATTTAACTAACAAAAAGTATCCAAAAGATTAATACATTGAATAAGGCCAAAATACTCCCTCCAGAAAAATTGAACTATTTTAAGCTCTTATCCATAGATTGTGGACTAAGTATAACTATTATAAGCTGTAATTTCTTTTTTTTCTTTTTATTAATTCTGAGAATACCATACAGAGGAGTTACAATTACATGGGCAAGATAACAAGTACATTTCTTATCAAGCATTGTTACCTCCTCTTTGTTTCCCCTTCACATCCCTTCCCATACTCCCCCCATCTCCCCCCACCTGGTCCCCCCCCACCAAAGTTGTAAATGATGTTGGTATAATTTGTGGAGGGGAAGGGCAAAAACAAATCGTTTAAATAGGGATACAGTTGGACCCATTGCAGCAATGAGATGTACAAGTCGTTATGTCAAAAAACAAACTTTAATTTCTGCCATTCTATGATATAGCACAAATGCCTTAATTGAAAGAAAAGCTATAGATAAATATATTTTAGCATAAAAAGATAGAATGTATTTTGATAATTACATTTACCCATAGTTTAGAAACTACTCATTGAAATGACTATTACTATTTTTTTAAACTACTATATAAATCACATTAGTGAATAAATTGTAAATATGCAATGTATACATTTATAATATATAAATATATGAGATATATATTACATGCAGAGCCAGCAGTATTCCTCAACCCACACATGCCCCGCTTCCCCTCCCCCAGCTCAAGATCACCAAGAATTTTTGTTTGTTATCATTGCTTTAGGTAATCCATAGTACTACTTTTCCTTCTAAATACTTGATTTCTACTCTGTGTTAGACTTCAGAACTGACAGCACTTTTACTACAGCCTCACCCTAAGGTGGACCCAACTCCTCATGCTGTCACACCCTGTAGTCCTACCAAACCCAAGGCTCCTGTGTTCGTGTACTTTTTTTGATCTGAAGTATTGGGGAGTAATAAAACAGAGGACATTAGATAGCAGCCTTCACTATTTATTTGACATTCCTTGTCACAACATCTCCACATTCTTGACCTTTTTCTTCCATCTTTTCGTGTTCTCCCTTTCTTTTTGGATCCCTAACTTCCGTTATAGAGCTGCTATCACACTCAAAACTCTGCTCAGAGGCAGCTTCATTCTCCCTGTATTTCACCCTCACTCCAGCTCCCTAAGAACCCTAATGTTCCTAAATACTATCACCACTGAATGTGCAAGTGAATTGTACCATCCTTCTAGAAAGCAGAGCAACTTATTTAAGCACCTTACTTATTTAACTTTTTCCTACTTATTCATTTAGTCCTATCTAACTAGTCGGAGTGGAGTGGAATCTTGGCTCAAGTGGTAGAATGCCAGCTTTGAATGAGGAGTGAAAGCACAATGCCCTGAGTTCAAGCATAAGTACCAGCACAAAATTAATAATAGTAGGGCTGGGATGTAGCTCAGTGGCAAAGCACTTGCCTAGCAGGTGCAACATCCTGGGTTCGATCCCAGTACCTAGCAAGTGCAACGTCCTGGGTTCGATCCCAGTACCAAAAAAGAAAAGACAAAAAAATTAATAATAGTAATGAGGAGGTAACAATGCTGGATAGGAAATGTACTCCTTACCTTACTCATGTCACTATAACCCCTCTGTACAGTATTTCTACAATAAAAATTAATAATAGTAATAATAATAATGTCTGAATACAGTGAATTTATAGTAAGATTGGATAATACATAATCTTTTAACTCTTCATAAGACATTGTTTTGCAAACCTGGTAGTCATAAGCTAGTCCTGCATATGATAACAAGTAAGTCCCTCCCTAATAACTGCCTGCCTGAGATATTTAAACCTAGTTTCCATCATAAGTGGTGCATATAGAAACACTGAATGCTGTGTTAAGGTTTATTGTATCTTCTATATCCCAGGTCAACATTGGTTCCCCCTAAAAACTTGAATGTAAACATTTCACTGAGATGGACTAACTTGAAAGCATTTAGCTTCGATTCCCATTTGATTACATTTTTCTATTTTTTTTACATAGTTTTGTGTGAGAATAGAAAAGAATCCTGGTCTTGGATTTAGTATCAGTGGTGGAATTAGTGGACAAGGAAATCCATTCAAACCTTCTGACAAGGTAAGAAAAGTATTTCTTATTGGAAATTTTAGTTATATAAAATGCTGATTTCTACTGTTATATAATGGAGAAAAGTATGTTAAATATTATGTTATTGTGATTTAATGGCCCATGTAACACCAATTAAAACTTTACCCAGGGAAGGTAAGAATTCACTATAATGCTTGAAAAATTCTAAGAGTAAGAAAACACACACATTTATACACATATACATCCTCTCAAGCTTTCTTGAAGTCTACTTAAAGCCAAATGTTTTTGGTGGTATTTTGTAATTATTTTTAGGGAAGAAGTATTTTTTGGGTTTGGTTTTACTTTTTCTTTTTTCTTTTTTCTTTTTTTTTTGTTGGTCATGGGGGTTGAACTCTGGGCCTGAGCACTGTCCCTCAGCCCTTCAGCTCAAGGCTAGTGCTCTATCACCTGAGCTACAGCACCTCTTCCTGGTTTTACTTTTTGACTTTACACTTGTATATATTGTACAGGAAGGAAGCTACATAGGCAATTTACAATTAATTTTTGTCAAGGGATTATTTGTAAATCACTTATTACTGAAGGAAACTCTTCTCACAGTGACACAGTGATTATGTTGTAATTCAGTGCTAGGGCAAGCTGACTAACATCTCTTCAACCCACCAGGCTTCTAAAGAATTTTATTAATAGAAATACAGTACTGAAAAGCCACAGAAAGCAAATTTGTATGAGGAAAGGAACTGTATTAGCTGAACAAGCTATTCATTTTATCCCTGCTTGTCAAACCATGGAAAAAGTTGAAAGCTCCCCCCCCCACTCAACCCTGGCCATTGTCTAGACACTCAACTTGCCACCCTGTTCACATGTGGTCTGCCAATTCCATGTCAACCTTTAATAATTTTTACATTGAAAAAATAAAATTTACCCTGAGCTGCATAACCTGCCCTGGTACCATCAAGTGTTTAATATTTTCAGCATTGAATCAATTAGTAATTAAAACTTGATGGTAATTGAAATGCTCTACTTTTGACCCCACCAAACTTAATTGCTTTAAGTGGCATCTTAAACTTCTGAGAAAATGAAGGAAAAGAAAAATCACATTTGAATAAATCTCCACAAGGTCTTGCTTTAACTTTAAGTGACAACCTGGTACAGACCCTTTCAACCTTCTACTAATATAAAAGTAACACATTAATCAATTTCTGGTAATGAAACATGCTTCTGAAATATCTTGAAGGTTCCTATTGTAAAGACTTGTGAAACTAGAGAGACTTTAATAAAACATTTTCTTAGACTTCTTTCTACTCTTTGTGTGTGTGTGTGTGTGTGTGTGTGTGTCGGGCATGGGTCTTGAACTCTGGGCCTGGACGCTCTCCCTTAGCACTTCAACTCAAGGCGAGAGCTCTACCACTTGAACCACAGTACCACATCCAGTTTTCTAGTGGTTTGTTGGAAATAAGAGTCTCTTGGACTTTCCTGCCCAGGCTGGCTTTGAACCGCAATCCTCAGATCTCAGCTTCCTGAGAAGCTAGGATTACAGGCGGTGAGCCACTGGCTCATTTTTTATATCCTCCCTGTTTTTATGGGGGGGAATAATCAAAATGGGAAATGTTACGCTATAACATTAATTGGGAAGAAAGGAACAAGATGAAAATCTCCAGCAATCATAGATGTGGGCTCTTTTGGTCAATAGACTGGAGCAGCTGTTCCTATATAAGAACTGTGCATGACACAGCCCTGAATAATTAGGGGAATACCATTTATAAACATCTGTAGATCTATTTCATTCACATTTGAAATGATGTTAAGAATAAGCATGGGTTTATCAGAATTAAAATAATTGATGGTTAAATGGACCAACTATTTAATTTTTTTTTGGCTGGTCTTGGCACTTGAACTCAGGACCTTAGTGCTGTTCCTGAGCTTTTGTTCTGAAGGCTAGCACTCTACTACTTGTGCATTTTGTAGTTAATTGAAGATAATAGTCTCATGGTCTTCTCTATCTGGGCTGTCTTTGAACGGCAATTCTCAGATCTCAGCCTCCTGAGTAGCTAGGATTACAGGCATGAGCCATGGGGGACAAGTTTACTTACTTAATTTTAATAAATTATTCATAGACCCAAGACAAAAAATATTAAAGTTCAAAATTATCAGAAATAGGCTGATGATCATGACTCAAGTGCTAAGCACCTGCCTAGCAAATGTGTTCAAATCCTTGTATTGCCAAATAAAAAATTATCAGAAACATATGTGATACTTTTTTTGGGGGGGGGTCCTGTCATGGGGCTGAACTCTGGGCCTGGGGGCTGTCCCTCAAATCTTCAGCTCAAGGCTAATGCTCTACCACTTGAGCCACAGCACTACTTCCGGCTTTTTTCT